CAAGAATGTTCAGATAATACAATCCAGTACACTCCGCTATTCGGTCTCGGGGTGTTCAAGGATGTTCAGAAAATGAAGTCCTGTACACTCCGCTATTCGGTCTCGCTGTTCAAGAATGTTCAGATAATACAATCCCGTACACTTCGCTATTCGGTCTCGCTGTTCAAGATTGATCAGAAAATGAAATCCTGTACACTCCGCTATTCGGTCTATTTGTTAAAAAATGTTCAGATAATAAAATCCCATGCACTTCGCTATTCGGTCTCGCTGTTCAAGAATGTTCACAATATGAAATCAAGTACACTCCGCTATTCTCGGTGTTCAAGAATGTTCAGACAATGAAATAGTGTGTTCACTCCGCTATCCGAGGTCGACATATATAACTAATTTTTATTACATTTATTTTCTGTGGAATGTTTTGCCTGACAATGTAGACCTATGACGTTGCCTGGCAGCGGAAAATTGTAGAACAGTGTGCCAAATGATGGCATGGCAATAAATGATGCCACGTTCAACGTTATCAATAACCTACATGTTTTTTTTTTCAAAGATGACAATTGACACTTTTTTAAATAGTTTTTAGAGAAAACAATATATCTGAATGTTAGAACCGTGTGCCATAGAGTTATCCGTAACTCCTGCCATGGTCGAGATTCGTAAAGAAGGTCATGTGGCCCCAAAACAAGAAATATACCAGAATTAGAGGGCAACTAAAGTCAACAAAGCAACTTTGCAGATTTTAATACTTTAGGGCATACGTAATCACAAATGCTTGACCAAAAAATAAATTTGAAAAAACGGAAATACCATAAAACAGGCGAAATCGTCCAAACATCAAGCGATTATTGAAAGCGCTGCTTAATCTCACAACGAGGCTTATAATTATCGTGCTTTTTTCAAATTGACAAGTGATAATTTGCAATACATCGTAAAGCCCCTACTCCCCCACTTTGTAGATGAACGATCCGGTACCGATTTTCCGAGAAAATTCAGATTGTTTTCGAGTAATGTTTCGTCATCTCAGGATTAGTACAAAGCGGCCTTAAACCAAACTCGATCACTCAGGATTAGGAAACACGGACATCGAACCATCTGCCCACACTGTTTGTATAATTTAGCTAAAACCTGTCAAAATACCCTTGAATGTCACTACATGAAAACCAAGGTAGATATTGCTACCTGGGTAGGTAGGGGTGGTAACGACGGAGTGCTGATATGACGTGAGTGCTGATATGACGTGGGAAAAGTGGAGCTTCGCGAAACCATACTCCAACCGTACGTCACCTGTCCCCTTGGGGATTCCACGTTAGAATGGGTCCCCAGCAACATATTACTTTTGGTTAATTAATGGATAGGGTAGTCGGGCCCGATTATTTACATGCCGTCGTCATATAGCTAAAATAGTGCGACGTTAAACAATAAACAAACGTTACTGGTCACAATTTACCAACTTGAATGTTAAACCGATTGGAATCAACGCAACCTTTCTGACATCAATTGAAATGGCTAGTGCCAGTTTGGCACTTTGTACTTCGGGTGCTGGTAAAGGTTTCGCATTTTTTATCACGTTTGTTTTATGCTCATATTCTATACTAAAATATTGGAACGAAATAAGATAACAACATATATTCTCTTAATGTCTTCGTACATGTATTGTTGGGGCGGTCGGGTAGCCCAGTGGTTAAAGCGTTCGCTCGTCACGCCGAAGACCCGGGTTCGATTCCCGACATGGGTACAATGTGTGAAGCCCATTTCTGGTGTTCCCCGCTGTGATATTGCTGGAATATTGATAAACTCGGCGTAAAACCATATTCAGTCACTCACCTAGTATTGTTGGTAATCGATACTGAGCTGGACCGATTTCAAGACAATGTCACCAATGTGTACTGAGTTCATGATTCCCTGTTAATACCGTGTGGAATTTCAAGACCGCCGTTATCAGCCACGTCGCCCACAATGACAACTGGAATGTCCTTTCGATTGTTAAACAGTATCACACTATTTGATTATCTTACATACATCGATGGTGTCATAGTTGTAGGTGTTGAGGTTATATGAAGTGTGTTTGCAGTTTGCAAGTATTAACTCGGTGTCACTGTGTGGTCCTTCTTCAAGGTTGCTATTGCCATTCGTCAAGCCTATCATTTCTCTTCATCAAGTCTATTGTAATCCTTCATCAAGTCTATTGTAACCCTTCATCAAGTCTACTGTAACCCTTCATCAAAGTCTGTTGTAACCTTTCATCAAGTCTATTGTAACCTTTCATCAAGTCTATTGTAACCCTTCATCAAGTCTATTGTAACCTTTCATCAAGTCTATTGTAACCCTTCATCAAGTCTATTGTAACCCTTCATCAAGTCTATTGTAACCCTTCATCAAGTCTATTGTAACCCTTCTTCAAGTCTATTGTAACCTTTCATCAAGCCAGGAGTACCCCTACACTAATCTTGAAGCAGCCCTACATTAACCTTGTAGTAGCCTTACACTTATCCCGTAGTAGTCCAACATTAATCCTGTAGTAGCCCTACACTTATCCCGTAGTAGTCCCACACTAATCCTGAAATAGCCCTACAATAATCCTGTAGTAGCCCTACATTTATCCTGTAGTAGCCCTACATTAATCCTGTAGTAGCCCTACACTTATCTTGAAATAGCCCTACATTAACCTTGTAGTAGACCTACACTAATCCTGTAGTAGCCCTACATAAATCTTGTAGTAACCCTACATTAATCCTGTGTAGCCCTACATCTTTGTTGTAGTAGCCCTTCATTAATCCTGAAGTAGCCCTACATTAATCTTGTAATAGCCCTACATTAATCCTGAAGTAGCCCAACATCAATCCAGTAGTAGCCCTACATTAATCCTGAAGTAGCCCTACATTAATCTTGTAGTAGCCCAACATTAATCTTGTAGTAGCCCTACATTAATCTTGTAGTAGCCCAACATTAATCTTGTAGTAGCCCTACATTAATCCTGAAGTAGCCCAACATCAATCCAGTAGTAGCCCTACATTAATCCTGAAGTAGCCCTACATTAATCTTGTAGTAGCCCAACATTAATCTTGTAGTAGCCCTACATTAATCCTGCAGTAGCCCAACATTAGTCTTGTAGTAGTCCAACATTAATCCTGTAGTAGCCCTACACTTATCCCTTAGTAGTCCCACACTAATCCTGAAATAGCACTACATTAATCCTGTAGTAGCTCTACATTAATCTTGTAGTAGCCCTACATTAATCCTGTAGTAGCCCTTCACTAATCCTGAAATAGCCCTACATTTATCCTGTAGTAGCCCTACATTTATCCTGTAGTAGCCCTACACTTATCTTGAAATAGCCCTACATTAACCTTGTAGTAGACCTACACTTATCCCTTAGTAGTCCCACACTAATCCTGAAGTAGCCCTACATTAATCTTGTAGTAGCCCTACACGTATCCCGTAGTAGTCCCACATTAATCTTGCAGTAGCCCTACACTTATCCTGAAGTAGCCTTAATTACCTTGTAGTAGCCCTAAATTACTCCTGTTGTAGCCATACATTAATCTTGTAGTAGCCTACACTAATCCCTTAGTTGTCCCACATTAATCTTGCAGTAGCCCAACACTTATCCTGAAGTAGCCTAAATTACCTTGTAGTAGCCCTACATTACTCCTGTTGTAGCCATACATTAATCTTGTAGTAGCCCTACCTAAATCTTGTAGTAACCCTACATTTATCCTGCAGTAGCCCTACATTACTCTTGTAGTAGCCCTTCATTAATCCTGTAGTAACCCTACATTAAACTTGTAGTAGCCCTACACTAATCCTGAAGTAGCCCTACACTAATCCTGTAGTAGCCCTACAGGCTGACGCAGTTGGTTTGGTCGGTCAGGCTCACGGTGTTGGTTTGGTCGGTCAGGCTGACGGAGTTGGTTTGTGTGGTCAGGCTGACGGAGTTGGTTTGTGTGGTCAGGCTCACGGTGTTGGTTTGGTCGGTCAGGCTGACGGAGTTGGTTTGTGTGGTCAGGCTGACGGTGTTGGTTTGGTCGGTCAGGCTGACGGAGTTGGTTTGTGTGGTGAATTGTGAATTATTTACAGGCCGTCGCCTTATAACTTGCATATTGCTCAATGCGGCGTTACAAACACAAAAAACGCCCTTACACGCAAACACGCGCACGTACACAGGCACGCACACACACAGAAACGTCACATAGCTACAATATTGCTGAGTGGGGTGTTAAACAACAGACAAACGACCATAGGATTTTGCTGACTCTTGGACACAGGCTCGCTGACTTGGTTGATGCATGTGATCGAACCCAATTGCGTGGATCGATGCTCATGGTATTAATCACTGAATTGTCTGGTCCAGACTCCATTATTTACAGACTGCCGTCATATAGCTGGAACATTGCTGAGTGCGGCGTTAAACAACAAACCAACAACAACAACTATATGTCGTTTTTACGAGCTGAAACAGTTATAGTTTCACCAGTCACACTCTTCATGATACGTACCGTGTAAAACAAGTCGCCGTGGTTCCTTTCAAACGTCATCTAGCATGCCCGAAATATTGCTGATGAAACGTTTAGCAATATTAACTTACCTTCGTGTTTATATAGTTCCTCTTTACCCAAGCCTTGTGGTGTGTAACTGCTGAACAGTCCCTCGCATAGTATCTATACTATGAACAGTATCAAAATCGAATAATTTTATTGATATTTTACGAAACGTGTGTATGATATATTAATAATATTGAATTCATGGCACATAATTCTCATAAATCATATCTGCGCAATGTGTTTATCAGAATCCAAACGAGTCACGTGATAACGAAATACACGATTCAAATCAGGCTTATTCTATGACAACTAACGAAATTAGGTCAAACTGTATATACATGCTGCGTGTTCCCCGTTATCAATACTTTGAACCGCGTCACTAGCTATAAATAGACGGCTATTAATGGCGATGATTTGTTTTGTTTTGAACACGTGGTTTCCAAAGCGAGGTATTTTAATATCACAACAAGGTCTTGCAGTGGCGGGTGGTAAGTTTTTGTTCATTTAGCATTTGCGGTTTTTTAACGATTACGTTATGTTTGAGGAAATATGGCGATTAACAAATGAAGTCTTATTAATATTTGACTGATCACCGTTTGATATTCGTATAATATTGAATATAAGGCAATTGGCGAAATCAGCTCAATGAATATTTCAACGCGACTAACGAAAACACAATGACAGTTAACGCGTTATTGATAGGTGATGTCATACAGACCTGTATTATCACCAGCAGGTATTTGCATAACACGTTTTATTATTAATCTGTCATTCGAGATAAATGGAATATGCCCTTGATAACACGAGAAGCTGACAGTAGCTTTACAGGGATTTTTTCACATTTCACAGCGCACTCTCCGATTCCTAGTCTGAATAGAACTGTGGTATACCATGCCACGATCGGTGGCCAAATTCTCTGTGCATATATTTAACCGTACTTGTATGAGGGATAACAATAGTTATATGAGGGGATATCAATACTTATATGGGGGATAACAATAGTTATATTCAGGGATGACAATACTTATATGAAATATATTAATACTTATATGTGGCGATATCAATACGTATATGAGGGGATATCAATACTTATATGTGGGCATATCAATACTTATATGAGGGGATATAAACACTTATATGAGGATAACAATACTTGTATGGGGTATATCAATACTTATATGTCGGGATATCAATACTTATATGAGGGGATATCAATACTTATATTTTGGGATATCAATACTTATATGAGGAGATATAAACACTTATATGAGGATAACAATACTTGTATGGGTATATCAATACTTATATATCGGGATATCAATACTTATATGGGGGATACCAATACTTATATGAGGGGAAATCGATACTTATATGGGGGATATCAATATTTATATGGAGGATAACAATACTTATATGTGGGGATATCAATACTTGAATGGGGGATATAAATGCTTATATGAGGGGATATCAGTACTTACATGGGATATATCTATACTTATTTGAGGGGATATCAATACTTATATTGGGGATATCAATACTTATATGGAGGATAACAATACTTATATTTCGGGATATCAATATTTGTATGGGGTATATCAATACTTATATGAGGGGGTATCAATACTTATATTGGGGATATCAATACTTATATGGAGGATAACGATACTAATGAGGGGATATCAATACTTATATGGGGTATATCAATACTTATATGTGGGGATATCAATACTTATATGTGGAGATATCAATACTTATATTGGGGACAATGATCGGTCAGTTATGTGAGCGGATACATATTGATTTACTTAGCATGCTGATATAGCCCAACTCTATCCCGAGGCCCTACAAATAAGGATGTACAGTCCATGCAAACCAGTGATTGATAGCATGAGCAACAATCTTCGCCTTTGGAGTTAGACACAGTCAGCAAGGCCACACTTCGTAAGCACACAGTCCTTCTGCTGATTTAATAAAGTATTAGGCTCCCATGTTTTTTTCAAGGGGAGGTTCGGCGTTCCGAAATTATTTTGTCTGAAGGACACGATCAATGTATGTCCTTTGTTTGTCTAAGCGACAGTAATATGTTTCAAATCAGGCATTGTATCTTTGAGTTTAAGGCGAGTTGAGTTTATAAGTTTAAATAGAAGGAGAAGAGAAATGCCAAGTCCTATTTATATTGAAGTGATGTCACTCACATGCCGCCAAAAATACATGACGTGTACTGGTTACAATCGAACAGGCCCCGTCCTAGATTGTATATCGTTTACGATAAGTGTTATAGTGTACACATTGTTTTGTTTGTTGTTTAACGCCGCACTCAGCAATATTTCAGGTATATGACGGCGGTTTGTAAATAATCGAGTCTGGACCAGACAACCCAGTGATTGGTGTTGTGAGCCATGACTCACGCCGTTTGGGTACGATGACGCAGGAACGACGAAGTCGGCGAGCCTGACTACTCGATCCATTAAGTCACCTCTTACTACAAGTATTGGTTGCTGGGGACCTATTCTAACCTGAAAGCCACGAAGCATTGTATTGTACACTAATACCATGTGAAATATAATATGCTTATAACAAATGCTACTCGTGCAAATGTAAACTGTTATGTTTTTATCTAAACCTGTCACGTTAAACATGGATTATTAAATTATAAGAAAGTAAAAACATACCAGGTGCCAGCATGGTGAAGTGTTTTGATAACTGAGGTTCAACTATACATATGCTTTAGTGCTGTATACACGGATCGACTTAAGTTACTTTTACCCACCCCACCCCACCCAAAATAAACAACCCTCAAATGCGCCTTTAACTAAGGTTTGATACATGTCGATGATGTCGTTTTAAAGAGTAGTCGATAAACAGTAATAACACACTTTTTATATTGGATATTTGGATATTGAGTATTGAATATTGTTTATGGGATATTTCCAACCACTCACTGCCGCGGGATCCAAGAATGCCCTCTGCACCGTCTATAATCCGACCCCCGGTATAAAACGTGATTACAATTATGACATGTATTATTTTTTTAATGGGAAGAAACCTGTTTTCTGTCTATGCCTACAGCGTGTTATTTTCGAGGAATATAGCTGGAGGAGAGATTTATTAGAACATTTAATCATAAAGAAGTATTTATCAGTGTGCTCATGGTCTGGGGAGATGTGCCCCCCAGGTGACCGCCGTCACCCTCACAGTCATGTCCCCCGGACGACATGCACGGCATATATGACGACTCCCCAACCTCCCACGTCGCCTACGGGGATAAAGATATTAGCTGTAACATCGAGGGGGCCACACTGGGGCGGAAGGACGCCCGATGAACGCTGTTTTGGTATTACGCCCTCTTACCCCCACCCCAAGTCCCTCCCGAGAACCGCCCGATACACAAGGGTCGGGATTACGACGCACTCGTACTGAAACCATGGTACCATCAATCACTGGATGCACAAAGGACTCCGGTTCCGTCTCTCTCTCGAGATAATCACTACGCTGATACATTATTGAAGTGAGAGATAAAGTCCACGTCCAATAATGGGATTGGTAGAGAAATTATGTGAAACTTGGATTTTTAATATGAGTTGAACCGAGATTAAATGTTAATATGGTCTCCTTCGTGTGTGAAGGGGTAAGGACTAAGAACAGATGGTACACCACGGGGCACCGGGTTCATTGCGGGTTGGAATGCGGAGCTGTAGGATATATTTCATTTTGTGCAGAAAGTTCAAGGCAGCGCCAAATTAGACGCTTGACCTTTCCTGGATACTGAAGAGAAAAGCGACAAAAACATTTTCATAATCATAAGAAATCTCTACTTAAAGCAGAGAACACGTGTACAATCCAGATAGATAAACAACACTGCAGAGTACACGTTGAACGTAAAGTGTGATATGCAGTACTACAGAACACCTGTTTAACTCTTTCTGTGACATGCAGTACTACAGAACACCTGTTTAACTCATTATGTGATGTGCAGTACTACAGAACACACGTTTAACTCACTATGCGATGTGCAGTACAACAGAACACATATTTAACTCATAGTATGATATGTAGTACAGCAGAACACATGTTTAACTCATTCTGTGATATGCAGTACAACATAACACATGTTTAACTCATAGTATGATATGTAGTACAGCAGAACACATGTTTAACTCATTCTGTGATATGCAGTACAACAGAACACATGTTTAACTCATAGTATGATATGTAGTACAGCAGAACACATGTTTAACACATAGTATGATATGTAGTACAGCAGAACACATGTTTAACTCATTCTGTGATATGCAGTACAACAGAACACATGTTTAACTGATAGTATGATATGTAGTACAGCAGAACACGTTTAACTCATAGTATGATATGTAGTACAGCAGAACACATGTTTAACTCATTCTGTGATATACAGTACAACAGAACGCATGTTTAACTCATAGTATGATATGTAGTACAGCAGAACACATGTTTAACCCATTCTGTGATATGCAGTACAACAGAACACATGTTTAACTGATAGTATGATATGTAGTACAGCAGAACACGTTTAACACATAGTATGATATGTAGTACAGCAGAACACATGTTTAACTCATTCTGTGATATGCAGTACAACAGAACACATGTTTAACTCATAGTATGATATGTAGTACAGCAGAACACATGTTTAACTCATAGTATGATATGTAGTACAACAGAACACATGTTTAACTCATAGTATGATATGTAGTACAGCAGAACACATGTTTAACTCATTCTGTGATATGCAGTACAACAGAACACATGTTTAACTCATAGTATGATATGTAGTACAGCAGAACACGTTTAACACATAGTATGATATGTAGTACAGCAGAACACACGTTTAACTCATTATGTGATATACAGTACAACAGAACACATGTTTAACTGATAGTATGATATGTAGTACAGCAGAACACATGTTTAACTCATTCTGTGATATGCAGTACAACAGAACACATGTTTAACTCATAGTATGATATGTAGTACAGCAGAACACTTTTAACACATAGTATGATATGTAGTACAGCAGAACACATGTTTAACTCATTCTGTGATATGCAGTACAACAGAACACATGTTTAACTGATAGTATGATATGTAGTACAGCAGAACACGTTTAACTCATAGTATGATATGTAGTACAGCAGAACACATGTTTAACTCATTCTGTGACATGCAGTACAACAGAACACATGTTTAACTGATAGTATGATATGTAGTACAGCAGAACACGTTTAACACATAGTATGATATGTAGTACAGCAGAACACATGTTTAACTCATAGTATGATATGTAGTACAGCAGAACACGTTTAACACATAGTATGATATGTAGTACAGCAGAACACATGTTTAACTCATTCTGTGATATGCAGTACAACAGAACACATGTTTAACTGATAGTATGATATGTAGTACAGCAGAACACGTTTAACTCATAGTATGATATGTAGTACAGCAG